CTAAATGAACCATCAGAATTAGTGTCACTATTAGTATAAACTAAATCCGATTCAATGTAAGAATCAACACTTTGGTTGTCAATCGAGTCATTATTACTGGAATAATTATCCTGCAAATTCTGCTCTTCAAAGTCATTGTTCAAGTTAATGATATTCTCATTAATGTTATTGTCATCATTGTTTTCCTGAGGAGTGACAACATAATCAATTAATATTGGAAAAATTAGATTCGACAAATTTTTTTAAAAATTGAAACTTTCTTTTGAAAATTTATACTGCATTAACCCAAAATTAATAGCAGAGTTTTACTCGGTGAATTCATTTTCCTGCATTTTCAAAATAAAGTTTGTCGACTATTGTAAAAGATATTAATTTATTCTAGCAAATAAATAAATAAAAAACTAACGATTATTTTCAACACTTTTTTACTATACTTGTCTAAAAAACTTGTAGAGTGGGATAAAATTTATATTTTTTGAACCAATAATAAAAATAATAATAATAATTAAACTTCTAAAAAGTTTGTCACTAAAAGTTAGTGTAGGTGTAAAAATTTATAATAAAAAAATTTGAAATTTAAATTTTTTACATGAAAAATTTATTTGAGATTAAAATATTTTTCAAGCACTTTTTTAAAATAATGTTTTTATGATGGAATTAATGTTTTAAATTATGGAAAATCAGGTTAAAAATTCCTTTATAATTCAATAAAGCAAAAAACTCGAAAATTTAATAGAAGGTAAGGAAAATAAAAATATTTACATTATGTAAGTATAAATAATATAAAGTAAAAGAAAAATATATCTTAGAAATTATATTAACAGAACGAAAATCGTCTGAATTATTTGAATAATTCGAATAGTTTGATTCGTCAGAGCTTGATTCTCTCAAGGCTGCAATTATTCGCCTCTGATGTCTAACAGAATATTGTTCGAAATTTCTTAACCGCGGTTCCATTATTAATAAATTTCAAAAGTAAAAATATATTTTGTATTAGAGTTTGACACCAACATGTTAAAGCGATCACAAAGACAATGAGAAAACGATGATACTGAAGTCCGCAACATTTTCAAAAAAATGAAAACCAAAAATTATTAAGATAGTGTGGATTATTTGGCTTAAAATTAAAGTTTTTCGACACCAACAGCCTTCTAGGAAAGAATTAATTTAATTAAAATTTGTGAAAATCAAAATTAGATATGAATTGATTTGAAAAAAAATATATTTCTATTTTAATTTATCGTTTGAAAACGTTGCGGACTTCAGCCTCATTAAACCAAATTATTCAATGTGTAAGTGTCTTTTGTTTATAAATAGCTTATGATCTGACAGTTAGATATCATACAATTTGAGAGTTAGAGATACATCGTTAAAAATGTACGTCTTGTTGAAATGGATCGACTCAAAAGAAATTACAGTAATGGAAGAAACTCCAGATTTGGCAAAAAGAAATGAAGGTGATACTGTCGAGGTGTTATATGGCGATGATTACTATCAGGCGATTTTAATCAAGCGAAGCGGAAAGAAAAAGGAATCCTTATTTGCAAAATAATTTCTCATACAAAAATTTTAAACATATCTCTCTTATTTTTTGAATTATAAAATACGTTTTAAAAATAGTTTCCTTATTAAAAATGATATCAAATAAGAAGTTAACCATGTGAATGTTATTTATTAAGGTTATGAGGTTCAAAAAATTATCATTACTTGAATCCATTTATTAACAGTATTGGAAAATTAGCGTAGTTTTTTTGTTATTAGAAAATCATTTTTAATTTTAATTTAATAAAAAATATATATAATTAAAATTAAACTAATTCACTAAATGAAAATTATAAATATTAAACAACTTTTTTTCTATTTATAGAAGATAAACAATTTCTTCAAAAAATTAACATTTCAGTAGAAGGAGAAATTATCCCTAAAAATAAAAAAGGAAAAATTAACATCAAGAATAAAAAAAATCGGATAGCGAAAAAGCTGTGGAAAAATTGAAAAAAATATGAGGATGGTAACAAATAAAATATTGGAGAATCACATCTCAAAAAAAATTTCACTTCCAGTGAATATTATCAGTTCTCAAAGTAATAAAATTATACCTTAAAAAATGAAAATTATTCAAAGATAAATTAACATATTATTTTTACTTATTTTTTAATTTGCAATATTCTTTAATTTTTTCATTTCTTAATTTACATCAATTTGTTCATTTACACAGCCGCACAAAAAAAAGTGTCCTGCGCGGCAGACCAGACTAGTCATTTCCTATGTATTTTGACGCGCTGAACACGAATCCGAAGTCCGCTTTGCTCCATCACGTCAGGATTTTTTTCTAACCTCCAAAAACCTGTCGGATTTTGAGAGGTAGGCTATTTTTTTAAAAATTGATGGATTTACTTCAAACTTGGTATCTAGGGGTTTTTTGGGTCGCTGATGACGAATTTGAAGTTAGATTTTCAAAATTCAAAATGGCGGCTCCAATATGGCGGACGAATTTTGTAAAAATTGATGGATTTACTTCAAACTTGGTATCTAGGGGTTTTTTGGGTCGCTGATTACGAATCTAAAGTTAGATTTTCAAAATTTAAAATGGCGGCTCCAATATGGCGGACGAATTTTGTAAAAATTGATGGATTGACTTCAAACTTGGTATCTAGGGGTTTTTTGGGTCGCTGATTACGAATCTGAAGTTAGGTTTTCAAAACTAGAAATAAAAATTCTTATATACATAAGTAAGGTATTCACGTCTTTTTATGGTAGCGCACTCTTTTGTCCTCAAAGGATCTGTGTAATGGTTTTCTTTTCAAATTGGTGCCTCCAGGTACAATATCCCTTTTCAGCATCCAGCAGTAGTCGGCCATCATATTTACATCCCATCTTCCTTGATAACGACGCTCAAATTCTTTCAGATCTTGATGGAATCGTTCTCCTTGTTCTTAACTGTCATCTCCCAAATTTTCAGGGAATTGATCCCGATGCGAGTCTAAGTAATGCAACTTTATGCTTATTAAGCATCCTAACTTACCAAAGTTTTTAATCATATCACTAACTATTTGCTCCCAATTTTCACTCTTGTGATTACCCAGAAAATTTTCGACAACTGCTTTGAAACTAAGCAATGCGGCTTTCTTCTTTTTTTTCATCTTGGTGATAAATTGCTCATCTTTTAACAATTTGCGAATACGTGGTCCGTCGAAAACCCCTTCTTTTAGTTTCGCATCAGAGATATCTGGAAACTTTTGTTCCAGGTATTTGAAACAGTTTCCTTTTTTATCTAAGGCTTTGACAAACTGTTTAATTGCTCCTAGTTTCGTGTGTAAGGGCGGAATTATCACCTTTGATGGGTCGATTAGGGGATTTTCTATTATATTTTTTGAACCTGGTTCGAAAGAATTCCTTTTTGGCCATTGTTTTTTAATGTAGTGATTTGCTCGATCTCTACTGTCCCACAAATACAGGAAACATGGTGTTTTTGTAAAACCTGATTGTTGTCCAAGTAGTATGCTTAAAATCTTGAAATCTCCACAAATTTGCCAGTTGTGCTCTCGGTATCTAATTTTATCCAAAACTAGTTTCATATATTCATAGTTTTCTTTCATTCCCGTTGAATGCGCTATTGGAATTGGGGCATAAATATTAGTATTATGTAGTAGTACTACTTTCAAACTTCTTTTCGAAGAGTCAATAAATAGTTTCCAATTTTCATCTTTGTATATATTTGGTTTTAATTTATTCATGAGTCCGACAACATCTGAACAATATACCAACGACGGATTTTCATCTTTTGTAAAATATTGTCGGAATTCTTTTTCTCTGTCTCGATAAAAGCTAGCTGTTGTGCCTTTTGATAACAAGTTTTTCTTCTTTAACACTGATGCTAGGTGTTCTGCACAATCCTTCGGTAATTTTAATTCTCTAATGAGATTGCTAAGTTCTTCTTGATTAAATGTTTGTGGAATCTTTATCTCCTGTTCATCATACGGAAGGTAATAGTCGTCCTCATCATCGGTTCTCATGTCGTTATTTTCAAAATCTAGAACATCTTCAGTTGAACTGTCAATTTGCAAGATTTTGGGAGAGGAAGGTGGATTGCATGAAATTTCTGGTTTTTTTACAGTTGAGACGTTGGCATACAATATGTTTTTTTATTTTTGTTATTATATCCTTGCACATTGGTGTTGCAAAAATAACAATCTTTTTGATTTAATGGTTTTTCCCACAAAGTTGGCTTTATAAACTTTAGTTTATCTTCTTTTGTGTGATTCCAACGAGTTAGCATTGTGTAACAGGAATTGCAAATTTTGTGTGGAACCTAATTTTTATCCTGATTGGCTATCTCAAGATCAAAACAATCTTTGTAGATCAGTTTGATATTTTCATTTATTAATTTACGATTTTTGGGGACATCGAATTGTCCACATATGTAACAAAATGCATCTGCATTGCTGTCGCATAAGTGTTCCGACGTTGTTACTGCAAAATTAAGTTTTAAAGCCTTTGGAGTTTTATTATTGTTTTGATTTTGAGAAGCCATGATTTATGTGAAAACCCGCACGTTAGGGATCCTGGACCGATCGCTGGTGAGTCCGCCGTCCTAGGGGTGATAACCCTCATACCTCCCCAGGCCTAAGTATGAGAGCTTTCCGACTTTGACGAGGACAAAGTCAACTCGTCGTCGGACACACTACGGCATCATTCTCACACCCTAACGTCCCCCTGCAGGGCAGCGCGCCTACGCTGGCTTCGTTACTTCGATAAACAGGAAGCGAATCATTCTACACATCCCCTTTCGGGGCAGTTTTCATCGCCTACTACATTTATCGAAGCAGCAGGATTAGTATTGTGCCGAAACACAATAAAAGTGCAAAACGTACAAGGTAAACAATGTATTTTTAAGGAATAAGATAGTGATGGATGGAGGATATTAATGTTCCTTTGTATCTCATTGCTTAAAAATTTATTATTTAACTTTTACATCTTATTGTCACATTATTACCACAATGAGAAAAGTTTTGTGCATTTGCCAAATTGATCTCTACGAAGCAATGAGACCTAACTGTCAGTTCTTAAGAATAGTAAACTGGTTCATTACAAAACAAAAAGTTACAGTTCCCGCTGCATAACAGTCTACCAAAATACATTTCGGAGTAGCCATGGCTACTCCAAAATGTTTTTTGGTAGACTGTTATGAAATGTCACATTTTGAATCCCCTGCAAGGGGTTCAAAATGTGAAAGATTCGTATAGATTCTTAATCAGTGACCCAAAAAACCCCTAGATACCAAGTTTGAAGTAAATCCATCAATTTTTACAAAATTCGTCCGCCATATTGGAGCCGCCATTTTAAATTTTGAAAATCTAACTTTAGATTCGTAATCAGCGACCCAAAAAACCCCTAGACACCAAGTTTGAAGTAAATCCATCAATTTTTACAAAATTCGTCCGCCATATTGAAGCCGCCATTTTGAATTTTGAAAATCTAACTTCAAATTCGTCATCAGCGACCTAAAAAACCCCTAGATACCAAGTTTGAAGTAAATCCATCAATTTTTAAAAAAAATAGCCTACCTCTCAAAATCTGACAGGTTTTTGGAGGTTAGAAAAAAATCCTGACGTGATGGAGCAAAACGGACTTCGGATTCGTGTTCAGCGCGTCAAAATACATAGGAAATGACTAGTCTGGTCTGCCGCGCACGAAACTTTTTTTTTGTGGGGCTGTTTTATTAATTAATTAAATTTTAAGATAAAGAAATCGAAGGACAAGGAAATGATAAAACAGAAATGCAGAAAATTGATAAAATAGTTTGGAAAGGAAAGGGAGACAATGAAGCTACAACAAGTGAAAAACAATTAAATGAGAAAGGAAAATTAAAGAAAAGTGAGAAAGATGTGAAGAAAGACAGTAAAGCTTCAAGAAATAAAATAAAAGAAAGGGAAGACGAAGAAATTGATAAATTGAAAAAGAAGAAGATTGAACAAAAAGAAGAAAAGGAAAAAACGGTCAATGATAGTATGAAAAATAAAAAGGAAAAAGTGGATCTGAAAAAAATAAGAATAGTGAAACAAAATTTGAGCAAAAAGAGAAAAAAGTTGAGAAAAATAGTGATGGTGCAATAAATGATAAAAAATAATGGGAAGAGCAAGAAAATAAAAGAAATGAAAAAAATAGTATTGAAGATATAAAAATTAATAAAAAAGAAAATGAGAAAAAAAATTAGAAAAAGAAAAGAATATTAGTGAAGATGATAAAAATAAAAACAAAAAAGAAATTGAAAAGCATGAAAATGAGAAAAAAAATTGAGAAATGGAAAGAACATTAGCGAAAATATAAAAAATAATAAAAAAGAAATTGAGAAGCAAGAAAATGAGAAAAAAAATGGAAAAAGGAAAGAATAGTAGTGAAAATATAAAAAATAATAAAAAAGAAATTGAGAAGCAAGAAAATGAGAAAAAAAATTGGAGAAATGGAAAAATAATAGTGAAGACACAAGAAGTAATGAAAAAGAAAGTGAAGAGCAGGGGAATAAGAAAAAAGAGGAAAAAGATGAGAAAAATAGGGAAGATACAATAAATAATGAAAAAGGAAGTGAAGGGCAAGTAGAAAAGAAAAAAGAGGAAAAAAGAATCAATAATAGTGAAGGCACAAGTAGAAATGAAACAAAAAGTGAAGAGCAAGGGAATAAGAAAAAAGAGGAAAAAGATGAGAAAACTAGGGAAGATACAATAAACAATGAAAAAGGAAGTGAAGAGCAAGAAGAAAATACGAAAGAGGAAATAAGATTCAATAATATTAAAGACACAAGTAGTAATGAAAAAAAGTGATGATGAAACAATAGATGAAAATGAAGAAAGTCAATCTTCTACTGTTTTTACAGAATCAGAGATACTTACATCAAAACTCATAAATATATTTGATGGATTGGGTACCTATAACTTCTTTATAACCAATACACTTGTATTTTTTAATTATTCCCGTATAAAAAAGATCCGTTCAGCCCACTCGTCGTAAAGGCCCCTACCGGGAACCCTCACCTTCTACGCGGATTATTTCTGTTAAATTATTCAAATATAAAAATTATTACAAATAAAAAATATATATTTTTTACAGATGTAACTCAGGATACTGTAGTATTAATAGAAAGAATTTTAGAACTCGTGCGCGAAAGGGTCAAAAGTCATGTTCATAACAAAAAATCAATCTCAGGATCAACAGTCAGTTTAATAATATTCAATATCATTTTTTTATAATTTTATTTCTACACTAGAAGTATTTTACAATTGTTTACTAAAATTTTATTAACGAATATATTAACATAATATTAAATAAATTAATAAAAATATATAATATAAAATTGTTTCAAAAAAATTCAAATTATAATGATATTTTCAATTAATAGATTTCATTTTTAACATAATTACATATTTTTAAAACAGAATATGACGCAATTACGTAAAGAGTACCCCGTGTATATACAATCCTCAAGATTGTTTATGTTGAAGAGGTTCCGAAGTAACCCCAAAGACTTGACACGGAGATTAATATCGGAACTTATAGGAAAGGAAAACTTGTCAAACATGACAGCTCTAGGAAAGGGAAATAAAGAGGGAATATCTGACAATATACGAGAAGCTGTTTTCTGTAAGCAGTTTATTACTCATTATCTATAAGTTACACATAAAATTTCGCAATAGCTAATGAAAACTTATAATGATTTTTAAAAATTATTTAAACTACAAACTATAGTAGATTATAAAATTATATTAATATTATGTATAGTATAAATTGAAAGAAAAAGAACAAACACGGAAGAAGCATTCACAAATATACAGTACATAAATGTGATCAACAATATGTGTGGAACCTTACGTCATCCAAAACAAACAAACAGTAAAAAAAGACCTAAAAAGATGTCGACCACAGATGAGAAGACTTCAGATGATGATTCAAATGACCAAATCAAAAAAAAGCAGAAAACAAATAATTTTTTTGACAATAATTTTATTTAATTCACATTACATAATTATAATTTAAATTAATTAATTTTATATTCATTTAATTCAGTTAAATTTCATACCATACAAAATAATTTCATAATATATAATTACTTTCAATTGGATATCATTCCATAATTAAATTTAACAATTTACTTTAACAATTTACTTTAACAATTTACTTTAACAATTTACTTTAACAATTTACTTTAACAATTTACTTTAACAATTTACTTTAACAATTAAACTATTAATAAAAAATTAGTGACTTGAATTATTTTATAACAAAATTTTAAACAATATAATTATGTACATAGTTTGTATAATTTTCCAAAAGGTGCAAAATTAGTTTTTAGCGATAGTCCAAAACAGTAAAATTAAAAAATTAAATTTCCCATTATTGGAAGATTACAGCAATGCTCCGATATGGAAAAATTAAAAGTTAATTTTCCCATGGTTCGAAGTTTTGAGCAATGCTCCGAAATAGAAAAATTAAAAAAATTAATTTTCCCATGGTTCGAAGTTTTCAGCAATGCTCGAAAATGGGAAAATTAAAAAATTAATTTTCCCATGGTTGAAAGATTTCAGCAATGCTCCGCAATAGAAAAATTGAAAAAATTAATTTTAGCTATGGTTGAAAGATTTCAGTAATGCTCCGAAATGTAAAAATTAAAAAAAATTTTCCCATGGTTCGAAGTTTTGAGCAATGCTCCGAAATGGAAAAATTAAAAATTAATTTTCCCATGGTTCGAAATTTTTAGCAATGCTCCGAAATAGAAAAATTAAAAAAATTAATTTTCCCATGGTTCGCAAGATTTATGCAATGGTCCAAAATCCGTAAAATTAAAAAATATTTTCCCATGGTTTGCAAGTTTTTAACCATGGCCCAAAATCCGTAAAATAAAAAAAAAATTTTCCATGGTTTCCAAAATTTTAGCAATGGCCCAAAATTAGTAAAATTAAAAAATTAATTTTCCCATGGTTTCCAAGATTTTAGCAATGGTTAAAAATCCGTAAAATTAAAAAAAATTTCCTATGGGAAATTGTACCATGGGAAACGGACATAATCAATGGTGATTCAAATTTGAGCCAAGGTTGTGAAACATTGCTTAAATCATTTTTACCTTGGCAAATAATTTCGCCCAAGGTTTGTATGATTTTGTCCATGGTTCCTTTTTCACGCGGGAATTTATAATTTATTTATTTTATTTTCGATAATTGTTGTTTATAACTTATAAATTTTTTTTTGTTATTTGTCAAGTTATTGATTTTATGTACTTGACAATTATTATTTAAGGAAAGTTCCATTTTATTGTTTTGAGTGTATTATTGAATATTTATTATTGAACAAAATTCTCTTGTTTATTATTTTTTAACAGGATCGGATAATATACCTCGAACTTTTGTGGGACTTGTCTTCAAAATCTTTAATAACAAAAATTTTGAATAAAAGCATTATTTTTTTTAAGCTTTTATTTATTTATTAACGAAAATTTTTTTTCTTGTTCGGTCATCGACTTGACATAACGTAATTTTTGCTTACAATGGCGTCAATGTTTATTTTCCGACCAAAACGAAATCCAAATAGAAATCAGTTATTAAGGGAACAAAATAATACAACTAATAATTTAAGATCAACTTAACAAATTTCGAGTGGACATTCGTCAAATCAGGAAATACAAAATCCGCACTTAAAGACCCTTACAAACGCTGGCGCGATAAATTCGGGAGATCAATTTGATCAAAATCCGGGAACTTTAAAGCCGTCATCGCAGAATAGCGTAGGGAGTTTTCTCGGTTTTTCGATGCAATCGTCCATTAGAAGGGGAAGGGGTAAAACGTTTTTATATTACGTCAACCATGCATCGAAGAATAGATGCATTGAAACAGGCCTTAGATACGTTGACTGTCAAGTGTAACACCGTAATTGATCTCGCAACTCATCAGGGTAACTTACGCTCCGAAGGGGGAGGGGCGCGATTGAATCAGCAATCCTTTTCGTCTGATGAAGAATTGAACGAGTTAGATTCGCGGCAAAATAAACCTCCAGTTACCTCTGAGGTTTTCGATGATCAAAATATAGGCCAAAATCGCGAGAATGGAACTTTGCATTCTCATGAGACTCAAGTCGGGGATGAGTCCAGACGCGTTCGTTTTCATGGCGATCCTGGTTTGTCGAATGAGATTCCACAACCAGTGGGCAATGAAATTAATAATGGTCGGAATATTCCCCCACAAGCAGGAATAAATAACAATAATAATAATATCGTTCTCCTCGAATAATAAAAATAATAATCGGCAAACCTCTGGCAGACGGGACACTGATAGATGAAGAAATTTACGTGACTGAGGAAAAGTATCAACAAATGTTAGCATCTTTTCAGCGCGATGTCATGCAGGTCGGTGGTGGCAATTTTAATTCAGGTTACCCACGTGATTTGAATCCGTCCTGTGATAGAGAAAACTATCATGGAATGATAGTGATTTTAGTGAGGATGATCAACAAGTACGAAATTGCTTTCCGTCAATTGATCAATCAAGATCTGGAGGTCATTTGTCAAGTAGACCGCGGGATGGTTTGAATTCCTTGCATCCGCAGCCCCGTGCGGAGAATTCAAACGCTATTCAAATCGGTCGAATTGTCAACTCATGGAAAATTCCTCTTCCCAGAACAGAAAAAGACCCAGAGCAATTCTTGCTAATCCTTAAAGACTATCTGAGTACGAGTGGAATAGATCGGAATTTGTTTGTCCCTTGTATTTCAAAAATATTTAAAGGATCGTACAGATCTTGGTACCTCGTAAACAAGAAAAATTGGCGTATATGAAAAGATTTTGCTCGTGCGTTTCACTTTAAGTGGGGTGTCAAAAAGGATGACGCCGACCTCCTTCTTGAAGTTCGCGATTTAAAAGTCACCAAGGGAGAGAGTTTAGCCGAGTTTGCATGTAGAGCGCGTCTTGTTTTTGAGAGAATGCAATATCCCCCAGGATTTGTATTGTCCAAATTTAACCCTCGTTAAACATTTGAAATTTTGAATTTGTCATTAAAGAATTATCGGAAATTCTTGCACTATGGCAATGAGTGTAATTATATTTACAATCGCTCAGCAGACGTGCAGAAAATTAGATCGAAACCTTGGTCGGATTTGTGTGCTGTTCGAGTGGAAAGTGATTCTGAAAGTGAACAATCAATTGATACTTCTGAAGATCACTCTGATAGCGATCAAGGAGTTGGTTTAAATGCTGTTGATGGTAGGGAATCCGATCGCTCAAAGAGCAAGTCTGGGTTACGAAATGCCCAATCCATTAATCGACAAAAACTTGATCAGAATTTAAAGAAATTTGAGAAGTCAAGTCATTCGAAGAAGACAAGTACAAAAGATCAATCATCGCGTGCTAATCAGGGAAACGACAAAAGCCCTCAGTAGTTGAACCTCTAATTATTGAACCAAAGGGCGTACTTGAGGAGGATAAAAATTTTAATTCTTTATCTAATATAAGTCAGACCAAGGATCTTGATAAGACTTGTTGTTTCTCAACGAGTGTTGAACCGACTAGAGAATCAGATGATATAGTCTCTCGGTTTGATTCCTCACGTCAAGCCGTGATTAAATTTAGTTTGTTTGGTAGTGACTCGGTTAGTTCTTCTGAGGCAAAGAATGAGTTTGATGACTTGGTTTGCGAAGAGTTAGAAAATGAAATTAAGAATTCTATTAATCTGTCAACTATTTATTGTGATCAAATAGAAGAAGGTGTTCCTTCAGATGAGATTGATCACGAGGCTATAAGGAATTGGAGACCTTTTGGATTGCCGTCTCGCATGGTGCATCG